GCATGAGTGGCCTGCAGTTTCGACCTCGCCTAGGTTTTATTAAAACCCCGAGCGGGACTCGAACCATGGCAGTGCAGCGTATAATCAAAACACGTGAATCACTAAGCCACATTGTCGAGAATGATCTTTGATTAGAGGGCAGATGTTGAGACAATGAATTCACATTTATCCTGTGACCCACGAACACTCTTGGCAGTGTGGCGTAGTGGTTAACGTGTAGAGATTATACGCTGAACTGTGAGGGTTCGATTCGTTCTAAGGATGTTAATAAGGCCTAGCGATGCCGAAACTGCAGTCCACCCATTCCTAGAAAAGAGAATATCTTTTGATAAGGGACGCTTTTGTAAAATTCAATGGAAACGTAAAGTCTACTCATATCATTGTGGGAAAATTCAACTACCAGTCTTTTATCACCTTAGATGAAATGTGCTGATTATATCTACAGGTAGTCTTGAAAGCCTACTAATAAGATGAAAAATAAATCCTTGCATTTGTACCTTATTTATTCTTCTCTTTACTCTAACAAGCTTTTAAAACGGCTTCGTTTTTCGATTTAGGCATCACAAAACCAAGCACGAAGGAAATGAAGACCTTCGAGTTCGACCATAGCTACTGGTCCCATACAGATGTAAGTCCCTTGTTAATCTCATTACCTGTTCACCACTCAATCCAACCCTTGAAATAAAATTAAATTCTGGCTTATTAAGGCGCCAAGTATACCATATTTGTAGTTTCAACCAACGAATGTTCCATTAGCTTCATGAAACTATGGAAGGTGCACACAATTGGCAGAGCGACCAGTATTTATTAGTTCGGTAGAGTCTGGCTATGATGGGTAAATATTAATGTAGAGTATCGAGACATGTCGAACTATGCACAATACTGGGAATCCGATGGAGACAGCCAGCTACATGCATGTGGCTCAGAAGTCAGTCTTTCCTCAGCTTTCTCGACCTAGTCTGACCAAACTTTCCCATCCGTCTTACGTACGATATGATTTGGAGTCATTATCCACAAGCGAAATGACATGAAAATAATCTATGCAGAAGAGAAATCAGGCATACACACTGGCAACGACTTAGTTTACCACATAGAATAAAGTAGTTGCGAATACCACCCTGAAAGAGTAAGTGCTGTCAAGCGGCACGATAGACACAAAATTAAGCAAGGTATCCTCAATATTGTGCGATTTACGCTTCATTCAGATCTACAAATCAAACGGTCCTAAATAAGAACTGCATTCACCTTGAATCGCGTTCACTGGTAAACATATGATTGCTGAATTTTGCCTTAATGTTATTAAATTTCGATTGATTCGCACAAAGTATGATCATCCAGGGTGGAATGCGATTTAGAACTCGCTTGGGTCTCATCAACGCTGGTGGTTCAGTATATATTGCTGCTATGATACAAATACGCCACTCAGCAATAGGTGCTATTCGGTTTACACGACTTTTAGGACAAGCCAAGCCTCTCCATATCGAAATTATGATGGGAGTGTCGATAAAACAAACTTATATCTACAATTGCAATCAAAGATGCGATTTATATTTGTAAATATTAGGTTTTGACACTATCAGTGGGCCTTGAATAAGAATGGCAATATGACCAAGTTGTGAAAACGAGCTCAGTCTACTTCCTTATTCTTCGTTTGTAAGTAGGTTCTCGAGACTTTCAGTAGATTATTTATATATGAAGTGTATTCAGTCCATTTCGCTTAAGGTGATACGGGGACTGGTAGTTAAATTTTCCCACAATCAGATGAGTAGACCTTGCGATCTCATTAAATTTCACATAGCCTTGTGTTTCCAAGAGGTATTCTCATCCAGGTGACTGAAGTTTCGTCCTCGTCTAGGCTGTTTCGGGTATTCCGAAAGTCCGATCATTAAAGGAATAAGATGGGGTCTAATTTTTTACCCAGACGGAAGCTGAGAATTGTCTTTTCAATTGTATGGCGAAGTGAAATTTAGTGCTAAAATCAACACTCCTCTTCAATTCATCGTAGGCAAAGTCGCTATTTGTCCTATGAAAAATCATATTATAAAAGATTTACTTCTAAACCAATCAAGTTCTTGATAGCGGCAAAATTGTATTTACCTAAAGATATTTTTTGCCAGGATAGAAGATAAAAATAATAAATAAGATAGTTCTATGTAAAATGAGAAGTTTTGTTGGTAAATAGACAACATTTTGGTTTGTAAAGAGAGTTGACCACCGCGTGTTTTCCCCCTTAGATAGGAATTTCCAAACTACCATTTCCACTCCAGGTCCTTCTACATCCTTAACATCTCTTTTCCTACACCTTTTCATTTCACTCTACATTCAGCCCTCTGACCATCAGTTCATTGATCAACAGCAGGTCCATGCAGACATCGGCGTGGAAGCTCTCTGTCACGCCCTGGAGGGCTATAACGTCTGCATCTTCGCTTATGGGCAGACTGGCGCCGGTAAATCTTTTACGATGATGGGCCGCGCTAATGAACCCGGTAACGAAGGCATCATTCCACGCCTCTGCCGTGATTTATTTGACAGACTGCAGGCGGCCTCGATAGCCAAAGAGGAGGTTGAAGATTCATTTGTCGACGGTGAGAACCCGGTGGAAGAAAGGACTAGGCAACATCTTGTAGAGGTGAGATTCTTAACTTCATCAATATTTCCTTTCACTGAGGACACAGTCTGTTCATTTAAAGCTTCCAGATCATATTCCTTTACTTAGTCAGCATTTTGAACACATTACATCAATCGCGTTGCTACTCTTTAGACGTATTTTATAACACTATGGTCCTCATTAGCTCAAGTGATGGTAAATGTCCAAAACAGGTCTTGATTAGGCTCCCTTACTTATAGGCTTCATTTGGCAAGGTTTCTCGCCGCACTCGTTCCCGAACGGGCTTAACTACCGCCTGAGCCTGATTGGTACTTGAAAAAGATCCCAAGCGTAGCAGAAAATTGCAACGTTGACACTTCACATGTTTGAGCACAAACCATATCCTCACTGGGTCT